TCTCTCTTGTTCTTGTTCCATCTCCTGCTGCCCTTTGCATTGCAGTATTGCAGGAAAAATGCTCTATAAATAAAGTTTGATCATACATGACACATCCGAACATGACATCACAGCATGACACCACATCATCGCCACATGACATCATCCAACGTGACACCACATCATCATGACCGCCACAACATGACATCATCCAACGTGATACCACATCATCATCATCATCATCATCATCATCATCATCATCATCATCATCATCATCATCATCATCACAGGGACATCACCCACCCCAGGGTACTGGCTGGCGTGCGGCGTCAGGTTCTTGAAGGCCCACTGGATGTTCTGGTGCGAGGCCAGCTGGCGCGTGAAGCAGGGCGACTGCTCACAACACATGCGCAGGATGCCGTAGTAGGCAGGCAGCATGCCGCGGTTGAACAGCACCACCTCCTGGTCGTCGTGGTCGGCCAGGATGTAGTTGAAGGCGATGTTCTTGGTGACCACAGGGTTCTGGGCCACCAGGCGCACGTTCTCAGGACACTCCACGCACACGTTGTACCAGAAGGACAGCAGCGCCTGCTTGTTGTGGTTGGTGGCGATGGCAGGCTCCGACAACTTGGGCTGGGGGGTGGGGAGAAGGGGAGGAGTCAGCATGGGCAGCCAATCACATGCGTTCTGGTCACATTTAATTATACTTTATTATTCTGTAACTAAAAGTATGCTGTAAATCATGTAACTATAGCATTATGTAGTATTCTGTAACTAAAGTAAATTTTGTATTCTGTAACTTTACTATTCTGTAGTATTCTGTAACTTTACAATTATGTAGTATATAGTATTTTGTAACTTCTTTAAGCTACAGTATTCTGTAACTCCTGCAACTTTAGTCTGTAACTCCTGTAACTTTAGTATTCTGTAACTCCTGTAACTTTAGTATTCTGTAACTCCTGTAACTTTAGTATTCTGCAACTCCTGTAACTTTAGTATTCTGTAACTCCTGTAACTTTAGAATTCTGTAACTCCTGTAACTTTAGAATTCTGTAACTCCTGTAACTTTAGAATTCTGTAACTCCTGCAACTTTAGTCTAACTCCTGTAACTTTAGAATTCTGTAACTCCTGTAACTTTAGTATTCTGTAACTCCTGTAACTTTAGAATTCTGTAACTCCTGTAACTTTAGAATTCTGTAACTCCTGTAACTTTAGTATTCTGTAACTCCTGTAACTTTAGAATTCTGTAACTCCTGTAACTTTAGAATTCTGTAACTCCTGTAACTTTAGTATTCTGTAACTCCTGTAACTTTAGTATTCTGTAACTCCTGTAACGTTAGTATTCTGTAACTCCTGTAACTTTAGAATTCTGTAACTCCTGTACCTTTAGTATTCTGTAACTCCTGTAACTTTAGTATTCTGTAACTCCTGTAACGTTAGTATTCTGTAACTCCTGTAACTTTAGAATTCTGTAACTCCTGTACCTTTAGAATTCTGTAACTCCTGTAACTTTAGTATTCTGTAACTCCTGTAACTTTAGTATTCTGTAACTCCTGTACCTTTAGTATTCTGTAACTCCTGTACCTTTAGTATTCTGTAACTCCTGTAACTTTAGTATTCTGTAACTCCTGTACCTTTAGAATTCTGTAACTCCTGTAACTTTAGTATTCTGTAACTCCTGTACCTTTAGTATTCTGTAACTCCTGTAACTTTAGTATTCTGTAACTCCTGTACCTTTAGAATTCTGTAACTCCTGTAACTTTAGTATTCTGTAACTCCTGTAACGTTAGTATTCTGTAACTTCAGTAACTTTAGTATTCTGTAACTTTTGTAACCAGTATTCTGTAGCTGACCTGGAAGAGGTTCCACAGGTCCATGAAGCAGCCGGAGAACATGAGCTTCTCCGTCTTGGAGATGAGGCAGTAGGTCATGAAGCTAAAGTACTGGACCAGCTTGGTGGTGCCGTGCACGCCCGCATCCACGTACAGCTTGGCCCGCGTCAGCAGGCCCAGCAGCAGGTTGTACACCTGGTGGAGCACGGCCGTGGTGTCCGGGGACAGTGGCAGCTCCCGCGTGGGGATGTGGAGCGAGCGGGTGGAGCGGAACATCTGGCGGAACGAGTTGCTAGGGATGAGAGAGACCAGGAGGTAGGCAGCAGCTGGAGAGAGAGAGAGACATATACACACGCACAGAGCGCAAGAGGAGAGAGACAGACAGAGAGAAACACACACACACAGTGCAATAGGAGAGAGACAGACAGAGAGAGAGAAAGAGAGGGGGGGGATTCAAGTTTTAAAACACAACATTATGGTACATTTGTTTTTGCGTCAACTTTTTGTATTTTTCCTACTCATTAACACCTTAACAAGCTCTGGTTTTACAAGTTGAAAAAATTATGTATCGGTCTTTGCTTAAACAAAACAGGGAGACCTTGAGATAAAGAGCAGTGGTTAGGGTTAGGGGGTGAGGGGTTAAGAGTTATGGTTTAGGGTCTTACATGTGCGTACGCGGGGGTAATTGTGGGCCAGCAGGAAGCGCTCCACCCAGGTCTCCATGTTCTGAAGCACCCAGCTGTGAGCCAGCTTGTTCCTGGGGGTCTGCACCGCCAGCCAATCCAGACACTGGGAGGGATTGTACTCCACCACCTACACACACACACACACACACACACACAAACATGAAAAGGAAGTGTCAGAAATCCAGTTGAGACGGAGGGAAAGAACAAAAGGAAATGTGTGCCTCATGTACGTCTCAGCGCTCGGTGGAGCAGTCCAGGTGTGGTGTAATGTGGGGTGTGTGTAATGTGGGGTGTGTGTAATGTGGTGTGTGTGTAAAGTGGGGTGTGTGTAATGTGGTGTGTGTGTAATGTGGGACGTGTGCAGGCCCTCTTTTGTAATTATACATTTCAAGGACAATTTTCAAAATCAAGGGCCAATAATTCCCAGAGATGCTCACATATACCAGTCTAAGTTAGCACAGTATCATACAAAGATAAGTATTTCTGACACAAAAAAACCCAGATCAAAACAAATGTATATCGACCACAGCATCTGAACACATCGTATGATTATTTATTTCAACAGAGCACACATTCAAAGTCAGAGAGACTCCAAAAGGCTAAATCCAATTCACTTTGAAGGACCCCTTTATTGCTCCAAAATGGAGTTGCCGGGCGGTTTACCTCCCAGATCCGCTGCAGGATGAAGGAGGCGAAGGAGGGCATCCCTGGAGGACCGCCCGCGAACTCCATCAGCATGGTGAGCAGCTTGAAGAAGGGGTTAGCAGCCTGAGGACCGAGGACACAAGGACACACCGTGAGGACACACCGTCTGTTTACTGGACCCACACCACCAGGAAAAAGAGCGGGGAGCCGACGACCGAGCAGAGAGCCAGAGATCGTCTTCATGAGTGTGTACCATGCATGTGTGTACCTAATGTGTACCATGAAAAACATTTAAACCAACCAAAAACAATATTGCGGGTTTGTCAAACTATATTGTGTATGTGTTAAGTAAGTAAAGTTAGTAGAATGATATAAAAGGTATTTCAAAGTGTTCAGACGGTTCTGGTCCCCCTACCTCTGGAGTGAGCTTGGCGATGGACGTGAACAGCATGGACACGATCTGAAACACAAGAGGACGAAGAACCTCAGAAAGACACCATCTCACAATGAAGAGGGGAACCAAGGCTGCTACACACCATACAAGAAGAGTCGGTATGATGTGGCCTTAGTAGTTTAGTCATCCTCATTCTTTATATGTTTTCACTTGTTTTATTGTTATACCCATTGTTTTTAGTTTTATTCTACACATTTAATTTACATGCTGATTAGATTTGATTAATTTCATTCTATTTGAGCATTTTATCTCACATGGCTGAACAGAGGGGGGGGGGGGCTGAATAGCAGGGGGCGTGGCTACATGACAGTTGGGGTGTGGCTAAGCCGCAGGGGACGTGGCTAAGCAGCCGGGGGCGGGGCTGAACCTACGTGCTCCGCTAGGCGGTTGTTGTAGCGGCAGAGGCTGAAGATGAGGTTGCAGGTCTGCCGGATGTTGATGCCGTCCCGGATGTGCTGGAAGAGGAAGGGGAAGCCCTTCCCTCCGGTCAGCGCAGCCATGTCACTCTGGGACAGGGTCAGGTGTCTGTGGGACGACACAAAGGCATGATGGGTAATGGAGTCACTGGAGCGTATTGTTTTTTTAGTTAGCCTGCCGCAGGGATCATATGATATGTTTCACAGTTTTCAGTGTTTCATTTGATGTGAATGCTATTAAAGTGCCCTTTTCTATAGTTTGTAAAATATTATATTCCTAAGTAATTTTCCATTGAACTTTCATGCCACTTTTAAAACAAGCAACAGAGTAAACAGTAAGAAAATGGCCACCGTGTCAGTATAGATGGTTACACCAAACTAACAGCTAGGAGCTAACAACGCTAGTGTTTCAAAACTACTCTGGCACTTCAAATAACAACAGCAGAACGACCGACCTCTCGGAGCGAGACTGACCAATCAGAACGCAGCGACCTACCTCTCGGAGCGAGACTGCTCCACCAGCAGGGCGGTGAGTGCGATCATCTTCTCCAGGGCGGCAGGGCGGTACTTCTCCTCAGCCAGAGACAAGATGTCCTCCTCCTCGTCCTCCTCCTCTCCCTCCTCCTCCGACAGCACCTCCACCTGGGGCTGGAGGGGGGGGTTCAATCACATTAACACTGTTTACTTCAGTAGCATTGATGTATTGATATGATTATATTGAAGTACATCGATCCATTTAAGTATCGCGATATTTTTGGATGCATTTTTTTTATTTTTTAATGCCTGAATGCTTCCTTACATTCTCTGGTCCCTTGGTGCCCATGTAGAAGTGAACCATGATGGAGATGGCCTGGAGAGACAGCAGGAACTGGCTCTGTGGACACAAACACACTCAATACTACTTCTCTTCTTGTGGGTGCTGTGTTTGAATGAGTTCACGCATCTGTATGTTCACATGACACTTCAGACAGTGTCTGGAAGCGGTCAGGGCATGCGTCTAGCGGTCAGGGGGTTCGACTCCCAGCCGAAAGATTCCGGGTTCGAACCCCAGTGTCCGCAGTCTACCTGTAGGTATCCTAGAGCAAGATGACCCCTGACCCCTACCTGCTCCTTAATGACCTGTCTCTGTACTGTCTAACCCCTACCCTGCTCCTTAATGACCTGTCTCTGTACCGTCTAACCCCTACCTGCTCCTTAATGACCCGTCTCTGTACTGTCTAACCCCTACCTGCTACTTAATGACCTGTCTCTGTACTGTCTAACCCCTACCTGCTCCATAATGACCTGTCTCTGTACCGTCTAATCCCTACCTGCTCCTTAATGACCGGTCTCTGTACTGTCTAACCCCTACCTGCTACTTAATGACCCGTCTCTGTACTGTCTAACCCCTACCTGCTACTTAATGACCTGTCTCTGTACTGTCTAACCCCTACCTGCTCCTTAATGACCCGTCTCTGTACTGTCTAACCCCTGCCTGTTCCTTACTACACGGTTTTGTTAAATACTCGATTGACATTCGATTTGATGATCTGTTGTTTCCGGTCTGTTAGTTGCTATGAACGCTATTTCCAACCGTAGAATCTAACAGGCAATGTTTTTCAGCGGAAGCAATAAATAATTTTTAAATCAATAAAACGATTTTTTTGTTATATTTTGTGTCCAATTATTGATTTCTTTAGTAAGTAGCCGCGTAATAAGTGGGACAATGTACAGCGAGTCGGTCATTATAGTTGGCGTCAGGGTCCTGCATCACCCTGTGGGGCTCGCTGTACATTATCCCTGCCTCAGTCACGTCTGCTCTTACTAAATAAACGACATCCATTTCCTATTCTTTCTTGAGGCTGAAGGTAGTATCAGTATCTGAGTCTGGGAGACAATTGTGCAGTCCTAACAGCAACACGTGTTCCCTACCTCCTCCTCCCCCATCTTGGCGAACTCGTAGAGGAAGGCGAAGTACTCGGTGAGGTGCTTGCTGTGGGGCTTGACGCCATGCTCCATGATGGACAGCAGCGTCTTGACGAAGCGCGTCACGCACGAGCGGCTGCCCATGTCCTCCACCGGCCCGTCCATGTCGTCAGAACTGGGAGGGAGAGGGAGGGAGGGGTGAGGGAGATGTTCAATTATAATTAATCTGTGAGGGAAACAAATAATACAATAGGCTGGAAGAGTAATATATTTATATATCTGGGATTAAAGGACCCCTATTTTACCACCAGGTTTTGAAACGGCTTGTAATGGCTACTCGCACCTGGTGGTACAATAGGTGTGTGTGTGTGTGTGTGTGTGTGTGTGTGTGTGTGTGTGTGTGTGTGTGTGTGTGTGTGTGTGTGTGTTAAGGGGGGGGGATGCATACCCATCCTCCATGCCCGGCTGCAGGTACAGGTGGGCATGGACCGGCCGCAATCTCTGAATCACGTGGATACACAACCTCTGGAACATCTGTCACAACACAGAACAGGACATTAGCTGGATGTGTGTGAGTTAGTGAGTGAGTGAGTGAATGACAGACAGAAAGAGAGAGAGAGACAGAGAAAGAGAAAGAGAGAGACAGAGACAGAGAGACAGATACGGAGAAAGAGAGACAGACAGAGATAGAAACAGAGAAAGAGAGACAGACAGAGAAAGAGAGAGGGAGACAGAGCGAGCAACAGCGCGCGAGAGAGATCTCTACCTGAGATACAGGTAGAGAGGGATAAAGATGTGTGTGTGTGTGTGTGTGTGTGTGTGTGTGTGTGTGTGTGTGTGTGTGTGTGTGTGTGTGTGTGTGTGTGTGAGAGAGCGAGAGACACTTGCCTGTCGGACGATCTGATTGGGACACTTGATCAGGATCTGCATGGGCCACCAGTTGTCATCAGCCATGCGGTCCAAAAACCACTGGAGCACATAAGAAGAACCAGAGAAGAAGAGAGTGATGGTGAGGATGTGGGTGAGGGTGTGTGTGTGTGTGTGTGTGTGTGTGTGTTAGAGGATGACATTTGTCGGGAATTCCCGCGGGTCACGTGAATCCCGTGGGATTCCCGCGGGATGGGAGTCAACGTTTTATTAATCACGTGATTGGGACGGGACGGGAATACAAATCACCGGGAGCGGGCAGGAGCGGGAACGCCATTAATAGATGATGATTTTCAGCCGTGTTAAACAACCAAAAGGACAGACGCGTCCATTTTTGTAGTCATCTTTCAGTGAGCGAAAACTATTTTGACTTGCGTCAGCAAGTCAAAAGAACTACACATCCCATAGTGCTTTTGACTTCCGGCCGGGCCGGCCACCACCGGAAGTTACGTGCGCGGGAGACAGAACAACAATGGAGGGAGGTGGAAGCGATGAAGTCGGGAAGCGTGACTTACAAAATAAAGTGAGGAATAATGATCCGTCGGTGAGACTCAGGGAACTTATTGGGAAGTCGCAAATATTAAATGGATTCATGAGAGTTGAATGTGACGGGGCCAACACCGTGTATGCTTCTTGTAAATCCTGCGCAGTACTCGTCAAATATTCATGTGAGTCGGGAACGAGTGGTCTGAAGAGGCACACATGTAAGGCGAAGTCCGAGAACCCCAGTCTCAATGAGTGAAAAAATAAAAACGGGAGTGGGATGGGAGTGGGAGTCATTTTGAGTGGGAGCGGGATGGGATTGGGTGTCATTCTACAGGAGTGGGACGGGATGGGATTTATTTTTTTACTCTGGCCCGGGATTGGGACGGGATGGGATTTTTTCTCTGGGAGTGGGATGGGACGGGAGTGAAAATCCACTCCCGTGTCATGCTCTAGTGTGTGTGTGTGTGTGTGTGTGTGTGTGTGTGTCTGTGTGTGTGTGTGTGTCACCTCGCAGGCTGCCTGGCTGTTGTTGAATTGTTTGGTGAGGAGCTCGATCCACTGCAGCATGGTGGGCTGGGGGACACAACAACGTGTTACCATGGAAACACACGTGCATTACAACTTCTCCTACTCCTCCTACTGCTACTGCTACTACTACTAATACCACTACTACTGCTACTACTACCACTACTACTACTACCACTACCACTACCACTACTAATACTAATACCACTACTAATACCACTACCACTACTAATACTAATACCACTACTAATACCACTACTACTACCACTACTACTACTAATACCACTACTAATACCACTACTAATACTACCACTACTACTACTAATACCACTACTAATACTACCACTACTACTACTACTAATATCACTACTAATACTACCACTACTAATACCACTACTACTAATACCACTACTAATACTACCACTACTACTACTACTAATATCACTACTAATACTACCACTACTAATACCACTACTAATACCACTACTAATACTACCACTACTACTACTACTAATACTACCACCACTACTACTACCACCACTACTACTACCACCACTACTACTACCACTACCACTACCACCACTACTACTACTACTACTCCCACTACTACTACTACTACTACTACTACTACTACTACTACTACTACTACTACTACTACTGATGATACGCTCACAATTGTTTGGGTCAAGATTGAGATCACGATTATGAAGAAGATTATTCATCGATATTATGGGAAAATATTTTCAATGCAATTCTTGGCACAGAATTCTTCAATAGCAAAAATCAATGTTTCGAAATCTCTGATGCTTTTTTAGAGCGAGATGGACCGGCTCCAGCCAACCGCCTCTTAAAAGACACCTGTGCATTGCGGTGTACTGTCGTCTAAGCCCGTCCGAGCCCGTCTGGGCCCTGTAGAGGCTTGTGGGGACGCGCCGCTTACCTTCTCTTTCGAGTGGATAAACGTCTCCAGTACAAACGACGTGCTGAGCTGTGGACCAACAGGAAGGACAACAATGTTAGTGAGGTCAGGATGCGAAGATATACCGCTTGAATGTGGAGATTTCGGCGATGTTTTGTGCTGCAGTAGCCGTTTATGTTTTGTGGTTTATTATTTTAGTGCAAACTCTCCTGTGTGTGTAGTTTTTTGTATTGACTGTGGGCTAATGTTTACGAGGGTTTATGTTTTGTGGGGGCTATGGGTTAACTTTAGCTGTTTAACATTCGTGTTTTGTGTGGACACTACGCTAACTTTAGCTGCGTAGCGTTTGTGTGATTTGTGAGGACACTATGCTAACTTTAGCTGCGTAGCGTGTGTGTGATTTGTGAGGACACTACGCTAACTTTAGCTGCGTAGCGTTTGTGTGTGGGGGGTCAGTCTCACCTTGGAGGTCATCAGAGAGATGGCTTTAGGGTCTGGTAAGGTGCTGGGAATGCTACTACAGAGCTGCCACATAAAGCTGGGGAGACAACACACACTTCAGCCACACAGCCACATTTCGAATTTAAACACGCAGTTTCTTCAAATCAAACCAAATCTACAATCCAAGTCAAGATTTTGTTGTCACCTACCCAAAATATGTGTGCTCAAATATGTTCTTATCCTGGAGAAACTGCATGTTGTCCTGCCAAATCCACTGCAGAAAATGGGTTAAAAGGACAGAAATATTATTGAGAACATTTAATCGGAACGTATTTTGTGGACTACAGCACTTCTGCAGTACTGCGTGGTAATGAGATCAACTCTCTGTACACATACAAGAGGGAACCTGAACTTTTGTGTGACTATTTCGACCTTCTAACCATAAATATCACAGCTCACCTCCAGGAGATCAGGAGAGACGTCGAAGCTGAAGTCTTTTCCGTTCTCCTCCTCCAACTCCACTCTCTTATAGAAGAGCATGTAGGCACTGTGGGTCTGCACACACACACACACACACACACACACACACACACACACACACACACACACACACACACACACACACACACACACACACACACACACACACACACACACACACACACACACACACACCTTACTGTCTCCTCTTCACCCTCCACTTTATCTCACATTCTCCTCTCCTCCTCCTCCTCCCTACTCCATCTCACTTTCTCCTCTCCTCCTCCAGCTCACATTCTCCTCTCCTCCTCCTCCCTACTCCATCCCACATTCTCCTCTCCTCCTCCAGCTCACATTCTCCTCTCCTCCTCCTCCC